TTACTTTATATTTAATGCCTTTCACATCTCTCTGAAAATGTTAACTATAGCTAGTCTGGTCTTGTTTTTTATTGTGTTTTGATTTACTCTAGCAAGTAGTGTGACAACTTTAGCAGCAGCATCACCTGGAGGGCTTGTTAATATACAGAGTGCTATATACTTCACTCCATAGTTTCTGATTCAATAACTCTGGGGTGGGGCCTGAAAATTTGTATTGCTATTAATTTTCCAGATGTTGCTGGTCAAACAAGTATAAAGTCTTCTCATTGTTGAGTGAGAAACCTTTTATTAATATTTTGTTGGTTCTTCTCAAATGTTTGGTTATTCTTAGATGTGTACTGATAGTGTTTTGAAGATTCTAAATGTTCAATATGTTAACAACATATTTATTTACCACAGTCTCACCAGTGATTTTAGGGGATGTGTAAAGCTTGATTCTGGGAGAGAGCTAGTTTTCTGGATAGGGGGCTGTTTTTTTTTTTTTTTTTTTTTTTTTTTTTTTCTTTCAGGGTCTCATCAGCCTTTTGGGACACTAACCACTCTTGACTAGGGACAAATACCTCTGTTTTAGAGAAGCCTATTTTTCTTTTCTTTTTGCATTTTTTAAGCATTCACCTGGTTAGTCATTATTCTGTTCAGAGCATCCTCCAGTTTGGCGCTTGAAGCAATCTTAGAGGCACTTCTGTATTTTCTAGCTTGCCTCTCCAGTACATGATTAGGTTGTAGATTCTCACTTCAATTTATTCTACCTGTCTCTTTTCTTGAAGGGATTTTTTAAAGTTTCTATTCCTTTGGGGGACCCTTTCAATATGATTCAGTATCTTTATTGATTTCTGCTTTATGTAATTTTTCTGTAATTATCAGGCTTTAGGATAAGGGAAAGGGATGTGCCAGCATATGCTCTATGTTCAATCTTGATCCAGCCTCTCCACATTTTATTTTTACTTATGAGTTTAGTAAATAAAATTATAAACTTTCTCAGCTATATCACAAACTTTCTGAGGGTCTAGTACTATGCTATACTTTCAAACATATTTATATGATTTGATAAATACTTGTTTGCTTAAGTCTTCTTTTATCTAACCTACTTTTGGTGGTTTCCACACATACGTACCTGCTGTGTGTTTTGGAAATACAATTTGTTTTGCGTACTAGCCTAAACTAATTGCAATTAAGATGAGCTAGAGATAATTAATATTTATGACAATAATAATATTTATTGAGGACTTGTGATATACCAGGCTTGGGCTGAGCATTTAGTTTATAAGCATACTATTATTATCACTGTTTTACAGATGAGAGTAATAAAACACAGAGATGGCAAGTAACTTACCCCAAATCAAACAACTAGTGAGTAGCAGAGGTAAGATTCAGACTAAGTTTTACTCCAGAGTCTGTGCTCTTAAGCATTATACTAACATCCTCCTAGGAAGGTGTATCTGCTAGATTTCAAAATCACATAGCAGTGACATGCATCATCCATGGTTTTTATGTTAGTATATGTGAGAGTATCTGAAATAGAGCTAAAACTAGACTCTCAGTATTTTGTTCTTCTTGTGAAATTGGAATTGAAATAATCATCATTACCTTTCTTTATTGTCTGATCAAAAAGTGTCTGCTTTTGGTTTAACCATAGGTGATAGTGCTACAGACTTACTACAGGCAATGGCATGCTAGAACCTTGGTAGAGAATTTAAGAAGACAGAAAATGTTGAGATTGGAGTGGGAAGCACAGGAAGAACTAAGAAAGATAAGAGAAAAAGAAGAATGGATGAGATTGGACTATTACCGGAGGCATAATCCTAAAACAAATGAAGACTTCGAACTTCTTTATAATGCACTAGAACGTAAGTTTGACATAGGCTTTGCAGAAAATATTAATTAAAAACATTTTCAATAATAGGTGAAACAGGTTTACTGAAGACAAAAGGAAGACTC